TGAAGCACAAGCCCATGTTTCTCACTAAATTGTAAGTACAACTTATTAAAAAGATCAGTTCAATGCAACTAATGTCGTCGTAGTGTTATGGCATGATGTTAAAATTGGTTTGCCATGAATTTAGTGATGGATTGTAATCATTTGAAATGTAGCATTTAAGTGTTTCTCAGTTACAAGGTTGTTTTTGCGCTGATCAGGGGGTACTTGGCTGACATTGTTTTTCAAAGGGGGTACATTATTGAAAAAAGTTTGAGAACCACTGCTCTACATGAACATAGACAACGTGTGGAGTGAAGGATTTAATGTTGTGTGGCATTTAAAACGTGTTGAGAGTCCCTGCCAGAACGGGTGTTTCCTAGTGAAGTTTTTTTAAATGCTATAGTTTGAAATCTGCAAGATAGTTTTATGTTTACTGAACAATCAGCTGGGTGCAAGCACTGGGCGTGGTTCAAGGGTCATCAACAATGTTGAGAAATGTATATATTTTATGAATTCATGTCGGTCAAACATTTCACTTTATTTGGGTTTAGTTTGAATAAAGACACGACTAAGTCTGAACTTGATGTTGTTATTTGACCTTGTTAAATGCTTTTGGCTACATGTTCAAGTACCTAAAAGCCCAGGCATTACTTTGTTTAGGTTGATTCACATTGTGTGACCCACAACAGCAGACATTCCCAACCTGTTTGTTAAAGAAAACCATTTCAAAACAACATGAGTGCTGAATGTTGATGTTCTACTCAATTAAGGACACAATTTAGAGATAGTCAAGTTTATTTGTATTTTAAAAGATGGACCAAATTAATACAAACCATAAAAAGTAAAGACCCATTCCGTATGAATATTACACATACGTTCCAAAAAAGGCTAAGTGAGATTAATGACGCACCCTAAATCCCTAAAATAGTCCCTGATGGTCAATAAATGCCACCACTTGATTCACGTACCTTTGTCATGTGCATGTTCTGCATCCTGTATTCCATGTTTTTTTATACATACACAACTCTGCAGAGGTGTGATTTCATTAATTGATAATAAAAAAAATGGTCTTGAAATAAGAGCTAAATATGTTTTAAAGTGACAAAAGGTTTCTCTTTATAAAGCATTAAAGGGCCCATGTCATGGCCATTTCCACTGATCATAATTACATTGTTGAGGTATACTAAAATAGATTTATACTGTGCAATTTTCCAAACTCACATTGGTTTCGCATACAGCATCTCTGTCAAGCATGTGTATTCAGCAGTATTCACTTTCTCCACTAAACGACTCGTTGGAGCTCTTGCCCCCCCCTCCCTGTGAGCCTAGTGTGCTCCGATTGGTCAGCTCGGCCACTCTGTTCTGATTAGTCAACCACCAGAGAGGCTGCGCCCATGTCTAAACGGCTGCTCTCAGCCGAACATCAGTCTTATCATGGCGTCGGTACAGCCGTATATTTTATACGCCAACTAACCGAACTGAACCTACAACTGTTGTTATAGAAGAGTGTGACGGCCCCAGGGCCTTTGTGCAGGTGTGTTGCAGGGCTTACGGTGGGGTGGAGCTGAAGAGGGTAATCAGCGTGATCACGGACACCTCCGCAGCCGGTGCTATTAATCCCAGCGGCCCGGAGTCTCTCTCCAAAGCGGCTGCAGAAGGACGAACTGAGCGATCCTCTCCCCTCGACCACCTATCTCTGCATTTACCACAATAAATGTGCCGTGGTTTTGTAAACTCGTGTATGTCTCCTTGTCTTTCCGTTGTGGCCTACGAGCCGGTCATAACAAAGAGTAAGTTATTTTTACCTGTAATAAACTACTACTGTTTGATGAGAAATCAAATCATGGTTTGCTATATATGAATTCAGGGAAGAAAGGATAGGCCTACTAAGTATTTCCATTAAACTTTATTTTTAGAAATGTACAAAATGAACATAAATATACATATATACACACGGTATATCATCCATTCCTCCTCGCATCTTGCCTGCGCACAGTCGGTGCGGTGCCTTTTAGCACGAGGCCTCAGTAGAAGTCCCGTCCCCGTCATGGATTGTCCGCCAGGATCTGGCTGGACGAAATCAAATGCAAATCACAAAATATTAGAGAAACTTAGTTGTTTTAGACTCGTTAGTAGTAGTTGTGTAATGAACAGCTTGCCTGCTAATATGCTAACCTAGCTTTGTTTACCTTGGTAGCTAACACAATATGAACGTTAGCTTGGAGGAAAGGCAACTATAATGCAGTGTAATAAAACTACTATGAACAAAAGCTAGTGGTTCATATTAGGCTAGCAATAACGTGTTTATAATTGCAATCGTATACGGGTATTCTGCTACCATACAATGTAACTTGCATGAATACATTGTTTTGCGCTAGCATACAGCTAGCCTCGTTAGCTATACATGCAGTATATGTACTGTCACAATGTACGGTAAATCACCCAGAGTATACTGTATGAGTATTCCGTGTGTGTGACTGCAGACATTCTCCTGCCATGACAAACATGTAAGGCCATCTGCTGACATTGTAGTTGATATATTTAAACGCTAGCAACGTAGCATCACAAAAATGTTTTTCCGACCAAAACTAGCTCTAGCTCCGTGTGTTAGATCGCTACGCCAGCTATAATGTAATTACGTTTCGCGACTGACCGCACGGCAAATCACCCGGAGTATACTGTCAATAGGTATTTTGTGTGTGAATGCAGACATTCTCCTGCTATGAGATACATGTATGCAAGGCCATCTGCTGATATTAGCGTTGATATATGGAAACTCTAGCAACTTAGTTAGCACAGTTAGCACTGTGTCAATGGCTTAGCAGTCCAACACAGTTTACACATTTAAACAGTCTTGTTTGATAAATACACAAATAACAATGCAAACTTACAGGTTGTATACCCAGATCTTCCCCTGCTCCAAACGGTCCAAACAAGCTGTGCATATCCGGCCTCAAACTGGGCAATGTTTTGGAAGCTTTCGTCTGTGAAATGCCGGTTCTTCGAACCTCTGGAGGAGGAACACGCCGCTGCTGGTGTGGCCATAGCTCTTCGGTATTGGTCCATTTCGTTCCGGGTACCGCATGACATCAGGCGGTACCCGGAAGAATCAAATGGGCAGTGACGTATCTCCAACGAGGCGTTTTGGGGAGGTATTTTCTGTGTTAGAGTTTTACTCGCTACAGGGTGTACTTTGAGGGTTTTGACTCTGCACACCGTTTACATGCATAAAAACCTTCATAACACACAAGGGGACGGGTAATAACCGGAAAAGCATGACATGGGAGCTTTAAGCAAATATTTCTACTGTGTGGGAAATACACCCATTTGCATTTAGGTGAGAGGATTGGTTAAGATGATTTGTAAAAAGAAGTTGCATAACGTTTTCGTAGCGTAGAGCAGTGACTTCTGATCTTATTCCCTTATTAAAAGAGTTTAACGGCTTTGGGAAAGTTTAAAACATATAAAACATTTATGGATTACCTTTTTTTTGCAGTACCACAAGTACCCATCGCACAAACTGGCCACTAGACTGATTGGCATGACAGTATTTCTTTTGACATTTCTTTTTGGGATTCAAAATAACTGTATAACACTATACTAATACATTCCAACTTCCAAATATGACAGTTATTCAGTTGTAAAGTATATTTTGTGTCGTACAGGCAAAAAGATGGGCCACTAATCTGCAGTGTTTTCAGAGCCACGTTATCGACAGATACATATTTATTTGTATTTGACCCTCTCTCTCTGATGTCCTCTACCTCCCTGAAACAGCTCTGCATGGTTTAGTTCACTGTAAAGTAGTGTTTCTTTTCTATTGCAAAGGGGAAGGACGACGTGTTCGATATTTTGCTTGTAGAATTGTCACACTGCCAAGTATCTCTTGTCGTTTATGATAGTAATGTTAACTTCACTCATCTGGCCTAACCAGTTTTGTTACGACATGCTCTATTTTTGTGTGTGAGTGTGTGCATTGGAAAGAGGATATGTTCATTCGTAGTTTTATGTTTGAAAGTACTGAGTGTGAGTCGTGAGAACATGAGCGTTTGATATGAACATTTCTGATGACCCTTGAACCACACTAACCCAGCTCATGAACTCAGTGTTTTTCAGTCATCTTGAACACGCATATATAATAATAACATTTTATTTATCAAGCGCTTTTATCAGTAGCTCAAAGACGCCTACTATCAACTCAGATCATTTCTTTATATTATTGGAAGGATTTACTTCCCATTGTTGTTGGGCAACTATGTCCTTTTGACATTTTACTGTCCATTAACACTTGTGACTTGGAAGCCCTCCTTTCCTCACAGTTAACACAAACAAATACTAACTGATGTTAAACATTACATTTGTTAAAACTAAAAATGTGTTTACATTATTTTATAAACTAATACAATTGTACACTAATTGAAAGACTTTCAACTGCCCTTAGCTGATGTCTCAACAAACCGGCTCGGGGCTTAACTGGTTCATGTTGTGTGGCATTTAAAACGTGTTGAGAGTCCCTGCCAGAACGGCTGTGTCCTAGTGAAGTTTTTTTAAATGCTACAGATTGAAATCTGCAAGATAGTTTTCTGTTTACTGAACAATCAGCTGGGTGCAAGCACTGGGCGTGGTTCAAGGGTCATCAACAATGTTGAGAAATGTATATTTTTCTGAATTCAAAAGATGGGGTATTTCCTGTTAGTCAATTCTGTTACATCAAGAACCCTTTACAAAGAAGGTTAACTGGGGAATATAGGCTGAAAATGCACATTTCACTTGATTTACATTAATTGGGTTTAGTTTGAATAAAGACACGACTAAGTCTGAACTTGATGTTGTTATTTGACCTTGTTAAATGCTTTTGGCTACATGTTCAAGTACCTAAAAGCCCAGGCATTTACTTTGTTTAGGTTGATTCACATTGTGTGACCCACAACAGCAGACATTCCCAACCTGTTTGTTAAAGAAAACCATTTCAAAACAACATGAGTGCTGAATGTTGATGTTCTACTCAATTAAGGACACAATTTAGAGATAGTCAAGTTTATTTGTATTTTAAAACATGGACAAAATGAATACAAACCATAAAAAGTAAAGACCCATTCCGTATGAATATTACACATACGTTCCAAAAAAGGCTAAGTGACATTAATGACGCACCCTAATCCCTAAAATAGTCCCTGATGGTCAATAAATGCCACCACTTGTGTGCCATTCTTTAAAAGGCTTTCACACAACCAATTATATAAACATATAAATGATGATATTGATAAAGGATTCATCAAATATGAACTATTAGACAAAAGGCCCCCGGACACAGACATGTAAAAGGCCCACCACCCCTACTTTAGAAGAGTCAAACACCAAGAGTAAAAGAAGGTCTCTTCAGTTGCCATGGCTACCAGGCACAACAGGGACACAACAGTAAATCCACCTCAGATGCCTGGAAAGAAGTAGAAGTGCTTTATCAGAGTGCCCCTGTCTTTGGTCGGCATCTGTTTTGTGATCTCCAAGTCCACGAAGCGTTGCTGGACCTGTATGTTTCAAACAAACAGTGTAGGAAATTAACAAAACAAATAAACCCAGAGCATCAGTATTACTGCTTGTTAGGTGGTGTTGCCTCACAAAGTCTATACTTTCCACTTACTTTTCTGCATAGTTCTTCAATGTGATCCACGTCTGCAGAGGTGTTCACTACCGCCACAAAAGAACGGATGAGACGAGACCCAAGCTGTGGATTTCTGTATGAGGGAGTATCTGTAGAAAAACATTAAGCTTTAATTACATAAAGTAAGTCATAATCGTGGTAACATCTGAAAACATTTGTAATGAACTGACCAGGGGTGCTGGACAGAAGAGCAAGGAAATCTTTCTCTTTGTTTACAATTCGGAAACCATCCTCCTCAAAGTCTTCATGGCCAGCATAGAGTGAGGCATCATCACAGGACAAACCGTCTTCAACCTCCACTGATCCTTCCTTGACTAAAACACATGTGGAATACTGTTAATATGAGAGCACCACTCACTCAGTAAACAAGACATTAGCTGACTGCTAAATTAAATTATATTGATTTGTTGTATCGGGGGAATAGAGGAGACCTCCTCTGCAGGCCTGGATGAGGATGATCTTGGGTTTGTCCAGCAGCGCGGGACATCCCTTCGAATCCAAGTGAAGGTAAATGTTGTCGATGGAAAACTCATCAGGTTTGTCTTCTTTCCAGTCAACACCGAGGACAGCTCCCCGTTTCCCATGAGACATGATCACCACCACCACACTGTCGGTCTTTTTCAGTTTCTCATGTTTGGAGAACTCAATCACAGCAGCATCAATTTCCTGGGAAACACAAAGAAGTCAGACATCAGTTACTGTATTGCTTAATCAACCAGACAAGGGACGAATGTCTTTTTGTGAAATGACCTTTCCCGTGAGGTTTCTGTGTGTCACCACTTCGTATCCCAATGTATCGAGCAGTTTGAGCATGTTCTTCTCGTCCCTATCAGCTCCCGCTCTGTCAAACCTCGTATCAGTAAACTTTATGTTGGTGATTAACAGGGCCACACGATGCCTCATGGATTCTTTGTCCGCAGGGTAAGTCTGAAAAACAAATTTAAAGGAAATAATTAAGACCACAATGTACTATACTGTATGTCTGATGATATATCAATGGTAGAATTGAACAATAAATGAATTAAACAACACCTGACACAGCTTTTATGAACAACTTACATCTCTTCGACCCTGTTTCCCTTTCCAGAAGTCCTTGGTGGAATGAATCAGAGTGCCTGAACCGTCCTGCCCCAGCTGTGGCTCTGGAGCTGCAGCTGCAAACAGCAAAACATTTCTGCTCACAACGATGTACATTAATGTCAAAGTATAATATTAGGTTGAATCTAAATAGGGTGAAGATGTCTCTACAGCTGAACTGTGTCTGCTCACCTGGCTGAGCAGGTTTCTCAGAGGAAAGACCCAGTGCAGCATGAAGTGTTGGATCTTTGCTTAGAAGGAGAGCGATCATCTTGTTGCTGGCTGCATCTCCTTTCTTCTTAACTGTGTCAATGAGAGCCCGTGCCTTGTCTTTTGTGCTAGGATTCTCCTCAAGAATTGAGTCCTTCTGGCCATCATTCAAGACACCATCCTCTAAAAGGCCGTCCAGGAGCTCCTTGATCAGTTCTCTGTTCGCGCTGTCCACAAACGTAACCCTAATCCTCTTCAGCTCATCTAGAAGAGGCAAAAAATATATAATATGTACATGTATGTGTGTGTACTAGTGTAGGTCAAAGTCATTGTGCAAATGTTATATGCAGTACAGGTTACTTTTTAATGGGTAACATTGTTAACCCCGGGTTGTGCAGCCTGATGGCTACAGGCCACTAACATTGAATAAGCATACAATAGCATATTATCACTGATATAAATGTGGTAAAGTCATTACAACAAAGTTATATGTTATACAAAAAGCTGATTCATCGAAATTAGTTATACATAAATGCTTTATAAATGTAATGTATTATTATTATTATTATTATTATTATTATTATTATTATTATTATTATTATTATAAAAAGGCTAAATTGTATTGTTTTATTTTCATTGTATGTTTTACATATGGACTAACAACGGCAGAAAACAGGACGGATATGAGCACCAGCAAAGTGAAACAGGCACTTGCCAGCACACGGTAAAAAATGCAGAATTACTCAAACTTTACTTTGACAGACTTTATATATCAAATGAAATCACATTCCACACCTCTACCCTCCCTCCTCATTGCCCTCATTTACCACTTGCAGTAAAAACAGATCGGGTACATTAAATCAAATCAAATCAAATCAGGGTTTATTTATATAGCACATTTTTAAACGATTTTTGGTCGAGCCAAAGTGCTGTAGGCTACATATAATAAAAATACCCTACAGTAAAGACACTTTACAGCAAATACAACAGCACAGTTTGTTCAGAATATCAGTATGAGAAAACGACACCCTCTGTCCTTAGACCCTCTGTCCTTAGACCCTCTGTCCTTAGACCCTCTGTCCTTAGACCCTCACATCGTACAAGGAAAAACTTCTGGAGAAAAACCCACATTTTAAGGCGGAAAATGGGAGAAACCTCAGGGAGAGCAACAGAGGAGGGATCCCTCTCCCAGGACGGACAGAAGTGCAATAGATGCCGTGTGTGAATCGAAGAGATAATACATTTTACAGCGTAGGTAGACCGAATGTTTGGAAATGCATGTGTCTATAATAAGAAGATGAATCCACGAGGATGTCAACAACAATCCTAAGGGAGCCATCAGGGAAGCAGCATGACGAGAGCCAGGCAGGACGCCTGCGATCGCCTCCATATTCCCGGAAAATGCACCAAAGTTACTTTTAAAGTTAATTTAGACCGTGACCTCTTACCTGCCATTACTCAAAATTGTCGTAACACACAGTTGTTTCAATCGAAGAAGGCAAGTTAGACGTTACGCGCTCCACAGGTTCCACAGCATGTGTACAGGTACGGGTGCGTAAACTGGAGAGGAGACGTTTCCTACAGTACTTTGCATGATCAGTTCCGCACAGGACTGAGTTGTATTACTGCTGCAGTTTACAATGTGTGGTTCAACCCACAACTGCTATCCAATCGTCATTGGATAGTTGTAGACAACGTGTGGAGTGAAGGATTAAATGTTGTGTGGCATTTAAAACGTGTTGAGAGTCCCTGCCAGAACGGGTGTTTCCTAGTGAAGTTTTTTTAAATGCTATAGTTTGAAATCTGCAAGATAGTTTTATGTTTACTGAACAATCAGCTGGGTGCAAGCACTGGGCGTGGTTCAAGGGTCATCAAAAATGTTGAGAAATGTATATAATTCTTTTCCACACGTATTAATACATTGTCAAATAGGTTTCTGCACGAGAATAGATCGGTAAGTTAGGACCAGCAGCAAAAAGGATGTTTGAATAATAAGTTCAAACCTTAGATTTGTACATACACTGATCTAAAAGGGCAAACATGTCCCGACTAAAGGCCCAAATGAAATACTAGAAACTACTAAATGTTCAAAGAGAACAGCTCTGAATAAATATAAAGAAAGATCATATCTATCTGAAGCTCAGCTCCATAGGCGTCATTTGCACTGGAGACGCTGGACATGTCCCCAGCACTTATTGAAATGGCCAATTTTGTCCCCACCACTTTTTAAGAGTATAACTTATAAATGTTCTGAAAAATAGCGTTCACAAAGAAATGTAATAAACAAGATGTCAAGATGTGCAATTTGGACATGTTAGTACACTTTTAATAGAACATGTCCAATTTAAATAATTCCTCCTGACTCTACTGATTATATAACATGCTTGCAGCAATGTTGTTTGGCCTGTTTGCCTGAATTAAGTGTTGTATTTTTTATTTTATTTCCTTGTCAGAGGGTACCAGAATGAGTAGTTTACATGTTAAAGGGCCCATGTCATGGCCATTTCCACTGATCATAATTACATTGTTGAGGTATACTAAAATAGATTTATACTGTGCAATTTTCCAAACTCACATTGGTTTCTCATACAGCATCTCTGTCAAGCATGTGTATTCAGCAGTATTCACTCTCTCCACTAAACGACTCGTTGGAGCTCTTGCCCCCCCCTCCCTGTGAGCCTAGTGTGCTCCGATTGGTCAGCTCGGCCACTCTGTTCTGATTAGTCAACCACCAGAGAGGCTCCGCCCATGTCTAACAGTGCTTTTTTCGGCTCGCTCTCGGAACATCAGTCTTATAATGGCGTCGGTACAGCCGTATATTTTATACGCTAACTAACCGAACTGTACCTACAACTGTTGTTATAGAAGAGTAAGTTATTTTTACCTGTAATAAACTACTACTGCTTGATGAGAAATCAAATCATGGTTTGCTATATATGAATGATATGTTATAGGAGCAAATAATTCAGGGAAGAAAGGATAGGCCTACTAAGAATTTCCATCAAACTTTATTTTTAGAAATGTACAAATGAACATAAATATACATATATACACGGTATATCATCCATTCCTCCCCGTTGTCGGCATCTTGCCTATCGCAGCCGGGGCTTTTTAGGACGAGGCCTCAGTGTGGTAGTCCCGTCCCCGTCATGTATTGTCCTCTGTGTTTCAGTCGATCGCGAGATGTGTCTAAAAATAGAACAACAATATTCAGTTTTATCGTTAATGTCCTATAACATAATCTTCCTGTGCCAGAATAATGCACTTGAACGCATCAAAGCTTTGTGATTGGCGTGACCCCATGTATCGGGCGTGGCTGGTAGGCAGTGGGCACTAGTTTGCTGTGCAGTCCGCACACACAAGACCACAATTATGGCAGAAGCAAAAGAGCCCAAAATATATAATTTTCACTCCGAGTGGGAGGATGATTATTTTTGTATCTATTCCAATTCAAAGTCCATCTGTCTCATCTGCAATGCGAGCGTGGCTTTATCGAAGAAGGGTAATTTACAGTAGGAGCGGCATTTCAAAACAGTGCACAAACGCTACGAGACGGAATTCCCTCCTAATTCTGTCCTACGCTCCCAAAAGGTGAGGGACCTGAAAGGACAGCTCAATGCACAGCAGTCCATTTTCACCAGGCCCAACAACAAGAGCAAGGCTGCTACCTGCCCCAACGACTACCGCCCAGTAGCACTCACCTCCATCATAATGAAGTGCTTTGAGCGGTTAGTCAAATCATTCATCACCTCCTCCCTCCCTGACTCTCTGGACCCCCTGCAGTTTGCCTACAGAGCAAACAGGTCCACAGACGACGCCATAGCCCTCACCCTCCACACTGCCCTCTCACACCTGGACCCGAAGAACAGGAACACATATGTGAGAATGCTGTTCATTGACTACAGTTCAGCATTCAATACCATTGTGCCCTCCAAGCTGGCCATCAAGCTCAGAGAGCTCGGGCTCAACAGCGCCCTCTGTGACTGGATCCTGAACTTCCTGACGGGCAGACCCCAGGCAGTGCGGGTGGGAAACATCACATCCTCCACCCTGATTCTCAACACCGGTGCCCCTCAAGGCTGCGTGCTCAGCCCTCTCCTCTACTCCCTGTTCACCCACGACTGCGTGGCCACACACAGCTCCAACACCATCGTGAAGTTTGCTGATGACACGACCGTCATCGGCCAGATCACAGACGATGACGAGACAGCGTACAGAGAGGAGGTCGAAAAGCTGACATCTTGGTGCCAGGAGAACAACCTCCATCTCAACATCAGCAAAACAAAGGAGCTGATTGTGGACTACAGGAAGCAGCAGGGAGAGGGACACGCCCCCATCGCCATCAATGGGACTACGGTGAAGAGTCAGCAGCTTCAGGTTCCTTGGGGTCCACATCACTGAGGACCTGACATGGACTCTTCACACCACCACCATCACCAAGAAAGCTCGACAGCGGCTCTTCTTCCTCCACAGACTGAGGAGGTTCAAAATGGATTCCAGGATACTCTGCAACTTCTACAGGTGCACGATAGAGAGTATCCTGACCTTCTACAGGTGCACGATAGAGAGTATCCTGACCTTCTACAGGTGCACCATAGAGAGCATCCTGACCTTCTACAGGTGCACCATAGAGAGCGTCCTGACCTTCTACAGGTGCACCATAGAGAGCATCCTGACCTTCTACAGGTGCACCATAGAGAGGGTCCTGACCTTCTACAGGTGCACCATAGAGAGCATCCTGACCTTCTACAGGTGCACCATAGAGAGCATCCTGACCTTCTACAGGTGCACCATAGAGAACATCCTGACCTTCTACAGGTGCACCATAGAGAGGATCCTGACCTTCTACAGGTGCTCCATAGAGAGCCTCCTGACCTTCTACAGGTGCACCATAGAGAGCATCCTGACCTTCTACAGGTGCACCATAGAGAGGATCCTGACCTTCTACAGGTGCACCATAGAGAGGATCCTGACCTTCTACAGGTGCACCATAGAGAGCATCCTGACCTTCTACAGGTGCACCACAGAGAGCATCCTGACCTTCTACAGGTGCACCATAGAGAGCCTCCTGACCTTCTACAGGTGCACCATAGAGAGCCTCCTGACCTTCTACAGGTGCTCCATAGAGAGCATCCTGACCTTCTACAGGTGCACCATAGAGAGGATCCTGACCTTCTACAGGTGCACCATAGAGAGCATCCTGACCTTCTACAGGTGCACCATAGAGAGCATCCTGACCTTCTACAGGTGCACCATAGAGAGTATCCTGACCTTCTACAGGTGCACCATAGAGAGGATCCTGACCTTCTACAGGTGCTCCATAGAGAGGATCCTGACCTTCTACAGGTGCACCATAGAGAGGATCCTGACCTTCTACAGGTGCACCATAGAGAGCATCCTGACCTTCTACAGGTGCACCACAGAGAGCATCCTGACCTTCTACAGGTGCTCCATAGAGAGGATCCTGACCTACAGGTGCACCATAGAGAGGATCCTGACCTTCTACAGGTGCACCATAGAGAGGATCCTGACCTTCTACAGGTGCACCATAGAGAGGATCCTGACCTTCTACAGGTGCACCATAGAGAGGATCCTGACCTTCTACAGGTGCTCCATAGAGAGAATCCTGACCTTCTACAGGTGCACCATAGAGAGCATCCTGACCTTCTACAGGTGCACCATAGAGAGTATCCTGACCTTCTACAGGTGCACCATAGAGAGCATCCTGACCTTCTACAGGTGCACCATAGAGAGCCTCCTGACCTTCTACAGGTGCTCCATAGAGAGCATCCTGACCTTCTACAGGTGCACCATAGAGAGGATCCTGACCTTCTACAGGTGCACCATAGAGAGCATCCTGACCTTCTACAGGTGCTCCATAGAGAGGATCCTGACCTTCTACAGGTGCACCATAGAGAGGATCCTGACCTTCTACAGGTGCACCATAGAGAGGATCCTGACCTTCTACAGGTGCACCATAGAGAGCATCCTGACCTTCTACAGGTGCACCATAGAGAGGATCCTGACCTTCTACAGGTGCTCCATAGAGAGCATCCTGACCTTCTACAGGTGCACCATAGAGAGCATCCTGACCTTCTACAGGTGCACCATAGAGAGGATCCTGACCTTCTACAGGTGCACCATAGAGAGGATCCTGACCTTCTACAGGTGCACCATAGAGAGCATCCTGACCTTCTACAGGTGCACCATAGAGAGGATCCTGACCTTCTACAGGTGCTCCATAGAGAGCATCCTGACCTTCTACAGGTGCACCATAGAGAGCATCCTGACCTTCTACAGGTGCACCATAGAGAGCATCCTGACCTTCTACAGGTGCACCATAGAGAGGATCCTGACCTTCTACAGGTGCACCATAGAGAGCATCCTGACCTTCTACAGGTGCACCATAGAGAGGATCCTGACCTTCTACAGGTGCACCATAGAGAGGATCCTGACCTACAGGTGCACCATAGAGAGGATCCTGACCTTCTACAGGTGCACTATAGAGAGCATCCTGACCTTCTACAGGTGCACCATAGAGAGCATCCTGACCTTCTACAGGTG